ATAAATAAATAAATAAATAAATATGTAGTACACTTAGGAGGAAACAACTTGATGGTGAGAATGGGCAAGTCCTTGATATTGCAGGTTATCCAGGACCTGCAAGCATTAAGGGATAAATTTCCTGCAATGGGAATTTTGTGGTTCAACATTATTCCAGGTTGGTTTTGGAGGGCTGATTGTGACACATTGATGATGGGTATTGATCATGCAAGGCGTGGTGTAAACCGTGAAGTAGGTTGAGCCATGAGGGCTGGTCTAGGAGCTGTGATTCAGCATCCAGACATAGGAGTGCACTGGTATGGGTTATACAGGGAAGATGGTGTTCATTTATCAGAATTGGCAGGTAGTGCAAAGATAGAGATGGGGTGAGTTCACGATTAGCACATGATTAGACTGTTATGCCATCTCTCTGTCAGATAGAGACAGCCCAGCATCTGAGGAGAGGTGGCTCCATATAGGGGAACCTCATAAACAGCAGCCCACTTAAAGTCACGAGACTCGGTGGGCTGAGAAGGTGGGTTACCCTTAGCACTGAACGCCTGAAGGTGTGCTGTTCAACGAACAGCATGATTCAGAAATAGGAGTTCACCCTGCTATAATTGAACCGTCTGGAGGTATAGGTTACTCTGGCCTCTAATAGGAGATCGCACTACGATCAGGCCCCCTTGTAGTTGAGGAATTAGTTAATAAAGCTGTGGCCAAAGTTTAACCCATACAACCTGTGTGTCACCTCTTTATTTCTGCTGGGGGGGCCAAGAATTTTTGCAACCTACACAAACTGAAAAGCATTAATGATAACTGGATTGTTTTCGACCATCCAAAAATACTCCATTGGAGCCTCTGGGTAAAAAAATTATTCAGAAAAAAAAATGACTTCTTTGCCATGTCACCATCATGTGGAAGGTCTTCAGAACTCATTTTTGTTTGGGTTTGTTCTTAGTTTCTACCAGAAATTCTCTGGTAACCCTTCCACTTATTTCTTTGCTTCCATTTCCCCAGAAAACCACCAAATAGCTGTGGGAGAGAACACTCAGGAGTGAGCATATCAGCTACCTGGGTCATTTCTGCAACCAGGGCTTTGACTGGACCAATGGCAAACATGACTGGAACATTTCCAAGTGTCCTGAGAAAACCAGCAGGATCTATCAGCCTCTTTGTGTAGGCCATCTCCAGAAATCCCATTGAGATCATTCCAGCTACTTCAGGAAGAGAGAGAGTTGGACAGTGGGGTGGATACTACACCAAAAGACTACCAATCATATCCCATGCACCCAGTTCCAGATACATACATTTGGATCAAGAAGACTGCAGGATGGAGATCACAGACAGGGAGATAGACTCACAACAGACCAGAGTTTGGAACAATACTTTTCTAAAGGAATCCACTGTACACTTCTGCCTTCAATGACTTTGAGATAAAGGGCGCCAGATCCCCATGTAGTTCAAAATCCAAGTATAATGTTTATGCTCCCAAAAATGTAACTACAAAGCACAAATGGTTGATTCACAAACACACACACGGAAACATGCACACAGAGAGAATGAGAGAAAAAAACCCCAGTTCTCTTCCATACCATTGACAATCCTTTTCAAAGAATACTGTGTGTAATGAGCCTTAAAGGTCCTCACGATCCCCTGCTTCAGAGGCTGAACTGGAGGTGATGTGTTTGAATCATGGAATCACAATATAACTGAGAAGTTGAGATTAATATCCATTTTATAAATGTGCATTTGGACAGAAAGTTGTCTTGAAGACAGTTAAAAATATTCTTCCCTTGCTTAGCTTTAGGTTACATATAACTGTACCCATATCTGTACCTATAATGTATCAACTCACATGGTCACATATTAGAATCATAGAAGAATAGAGTTGGAAGAGACTTACAAGGCCATCAAATCCATCCTGATGCTCAGTGAAGGAATCCAGGTCAAAGAGGACCTGAGAGGTGGTCATCCAATTTTCTCTTGAATGCCTGTAGCACTGGGGAGCTCACCACCTCCTGAGGTAATTGGTTCCATTGTTGTACTTCTCTAACAGTTATGAAACTTTCCCTGGTATTCAGCCTAAATCTGGCTTCCTGTAGTTTGAGCCCATTATTACATAACCTGCTCTCTGGGAGGAGTGAGAGCTGATCCTGCCTCTCCTCTATATAAGTACAGAGTCATACAAAGGGCACACCCCATTATCTGTCTGTCTGTCTGTCTGGAAAAATCCATGTTTAGCAAAAACTGCCCTGTTCAGACTTATACAATTCAAGGGAGAAGTGTATTACGTATTACTTCTGGGCACACAGGTCATCATTATCATTATAATTGCATTGACTGAGCATGGAATATGTAATGTTAACATATGTTTAATGTATTGAACTATTTGCTCTCAGGTCAGAAAAATACAAGGAAATGTTCTCTGGTGCTCTCTATTATTATTATTGTTATTATTATTATTATTGTTGTTGTTGTTGTTATTGTTGTTTAATAACATACAATCTGTATACATACATGCACTAATACAAAATTCCCCACCCCCCATGCCACCATCACCCTCAGGACCAGATAAGAAAATATTACCTTTTAAACTCTTCACCCCATTCCATTCCAAAATACATTGAATCTTCTGCTGACTTTTGACCTTTCCTTGCTAGTGCCCTCTAGTGGCTAGTTCTGATATGG